TGCATGGGCTCAGTATCCCATGAACATCCATTAACTGCATGCAAGAGTGCCCACCGGCCTCGTTGACCTTGAGGTTATATGACTTGGTCTCAATTTGTGGGGACCAGCGAGGCGTGCAGACTCCAAGAGCTGGGACGCTGTTGCACTTGTACTGGATTTGATCTGCGTCCTTCTCTTGACGTCCAAACATCAAAGATCAATTCTGTCAGATTCTGTCCCTTTTGCCAAGGCTTTCTAAAGAATCCCGCGTCATGGGCTACCTACAAGCCTCTGCACAGAGCCCTGTGGTAGCCTACCAGGCGCCCACAGGCTAATCACGGGCTCGCGCAGGCCCAGGCTTGTGGGTACCCTGAGGTAGGCTGGTCCGTAAGCCCATGACGTTGGGCTACGATGGGCTGTAACTGTAGGTAGGCAGGCCTGTCGGTCGTCTGCGAGCAAGCCTACGGTAAGTCCTGTGGCTAGCCGCTACAAGGCCAGGGCTGCGGGTAGGCCCCTACGGCCTATCACCTCTCCCTCTGTCTGGAACAATTCCCGGTCCTTCTTGAAGTAGCTCAACAGCTGGTTTCCGCGACAGGCCACCGGTGCGTCCACCAGGCCTTGAAGTCCATGCTCGAAGCCCCACTGGAACTCAGGGCCTGGGACCACTTTTTGGAGAAGCTCGGGGTGGTTACGTCAACGGGAAAATCGTTGGGAGGCAAAAGGCTGTCGGCGCAGGTGGTGGACTCCACGTCGCCGGACTCTGTGGCTTTGAAGCACTTGCCTCCTCGCTTCAATTGCCTCGGCACAGCCAAACACATGCCAAGTCAAGCACCATCTCAAAATTCAACGCGAGGTTTGATCTTGCGACATGCAGGCAGAATCAACGTGTTTTCAACTGCTGGAAGACAAGGGAAGATAGCGTCGAGAGCAACGGCCAAGCATCAGACAGAAGGCCCTCATCCCAAGCCATGCCATCGAGGTTGGCGGTGATCGGACTGCGGCGGCCGCAAATACCATGCTTTGCCACCAACATCAGACCGAATAATGTAGCTGATGCAACTTGTCACTACACTATCCCTACTAGCCACAGCACCACAAATGGAACAGAACAGGCTCTGCCTGCAAACTTCCGTGTTGATCGACCGAGTTCGAGTCTGGCATGGTGGCCTAAGCTGAGCGAGGCAAGGCCTTCCAGCTGAAACCGCCAAACCCGCCAAACACGCCAAACAAAAACAACGACCTCAGAGAAGCACATGGGTAGTCGTCAAAATTAGGATCCCATTTAAGGGTCCTGTTTTATAAGGGTGCCGCACTATATTGGGGACCTAAACGGGACCCTAATTTAGAGAACTACCCACATCCCGTAAGTGCCCACGTTATGCTCATTTGCAAAGGAGTGGCGTCCACTCTTGGCGGCATGTATAGTAGGTTTCTTCAGTGGTGACGGTCTGGCATGACTCGGCAGCAGGCAACGATGACCTCGGACTGCGGCAGCTTGCGTGCAAACTGACAAACCCATCAATGGCAAGGTGGTGCTAAGTTTTCGAAAAATATTTACTACCAGGTCGAAACGCGGTTCTCAGTCGTGGTGCCTTTGCTTATTCATGCTTATTCCAAAAGAGCAGTAACACACCTAAATTTGTTGTGGATCAGGCACTCCAGTGTATCTCCCGACCCAGTAGTCACGGCACGTATCTGCTCGGCCGGTGAGTCCTCGGCGCAAGACTCGTGACTATTGCCGGAAGCGGTCCAACAAAGAGCCTTGCTGTCAGTTGTCAGGAGGGTTGTGGCTGTCGTCTTGCTCTCCGGGCTTTCCTTTCGGGGTCGCCCTGTTGGGACGCACGACCGTCGGGGAGCGAGGTTTAGCGCAAAGGTTAATAAGGTTGTGCACAGTACCACAGCGCGCGAGTCTGGAAGCATAGATTCAGCAATTCCCTAAACTTTCTCACTACCACAGATCTTCGGGTTTTCTGTTTCATTTGATACAAATTATTCGTACATATCCGCATTACACGAACCGGCGCGATGCGTCCCAGAGTTCCATGCACGTGACCCGTGCCACGGGCAGTCCAGGCACAAAGCGCTTGCATGCTCTGACATGCACAAGATCGACTTTGTGCTTCATGGCATGTTGCTTGGTTTGCGCTGCTCGAACGTGCACGAAACTTCGTATTTCAGGTGCAGCTTTCTGCTCCTCTGAGAAGCCCAGCACCTGCTTCGTGAAGGCTGGCTCTTGCTAAACGGTGTGGCCTGATCTTCCTGACGTTGTCCTGGCTTCCCCCCAGGCTTCACTGTTCTGTGAGTCGCGAAACAGGCGCTTTGGTTAGGGTGCAAGGTTGTTGATTCTTGCCAAAGAAAGCCTGCCTCAACTTACATTGGCTCCTCGATCTGAGGTCTGATGTGGAGAGTCCATGGGTTCAAGCTCTGCCACATACATGCAAGATCCACACGAGTTTCCCTGACACCGTGCTGTTCGTAGTCCCTGACATTACTGATTGTGTACACCGAACTACGTGGCGTGTGATTTGGGCCAGCTGGTGGCTGACACGGAGCGGCGGTGGCTGACATGTGGTTTCCCGATTAGCGGATGCTAGTAGCGGCTAGTAGCACGGTCAGGATATGCATATTATACACACCCAAAAGGTATCACCATGTTGACACGCAGCGGCACCGGATCGCGTGATATCGCATTATTCATGTGGCGGCCGCTGTGTGCGGCAGTCAATCCTGAACCATCCTGAACCAATCGCCAACGAGGCGTCGTTGGCTGAAATTCCTGCACAACCTTTTCAGCATGCACTGCTCGACCAAGAGACAGTGCACTCCGTGTGCGAAGCAACGGATTGTCCATTCAGCCCATTTAGGTCCTTACGCACTAGCACACAGAAGATCGCGGACCTGGACAATGCACTGAAATGCACGTACACCGGATGGCTCATGTTCCAGCCAAAAGCGCCGCAGAATTCCGGATAAAGACATTCAAGCCCATGCTTCTCTCCCCGAGCAGGCTGTTGTCATCACAACCTGTGAGAGTTGTCCTTGCACGAGGGCTGGCCAAAATAACCCATTGAGGGGCCAGTGTGGGGATTCCGGGGAAAACAAGCGCTGCCACTAATATGTAGTGAGACACCCGTCATTCTCGGCATACAGCAAAGTGCAATTGTCGGAGCCCGCGTAGTAGTCGTTTCCGCTGATCAGGGGTTCGTCAGCATGACCACCGCTGCTGCGAAAGCTGACTCTGGCGTGAGTCCCTCCGAAGGGAGTCCACGAATCATGAACAATTCTTCTAAACTCAATATCGGACTGGTACAGCTGGGTCTTGGGCAACCTGATCCACTTTGTGCAGTCACCTGTTGCGAACAGGTACTCGTCGAAGTTTTTGTCGAAGAATTCTCTGCTGAATGCGGGCCCATGAGGGTCGTGGTGTGTCTTCCCATAAGTTTGGTTTCCACTCCTTCGTCACGCCACGAGAACATGGTTCATGCACGTGACTCTTCCGTTAAAACCCCGTCAATGACGAGCGAAGACTGTCTTAGGGCAGCGGTGGCTCAAGTTGTCACGAGCTTTAAAGGCTCCGCCTTCGGTGCAGCGAACAAGGAGCCATCCGCCACCAACACTGCTGCTGCACGTAGAGGCGTCGCCCTGAGCTGCCAAGTTTCAGGGTGCAAGTGCAAACTTGCACGTGCAAGGACCTTTCGTTTCCTCTGCCAATCGCGCAACTGGACATAGGAGCACAAACTGCAGGTCATGTGGCGGGGCGGGTTCATTGCGGAATGTTTTGACCCCCTGCACGGCCAAGCTGCTGTCGGAGTCTGACGCAAAGCCATGCAAGTCCCTCCTTGAAGGCTTACCAGTCTGCTTCGAACTGGCAAATTGACATTGACGGGCTCGCTGATGGCATAGTTGCTGGCCGGCGTGCAGGATGCAGACCTCGCTTTCAGACGCCTGGACGTCTCCCCACAAACAGGCGCGACCCGTCGGTTCGACGGCTCATCACAAGGACACGGCGAGAGCACACTTTACGCATCACACTGTGCTATCTGAAGGCGAATTCAGCTGACTTACATTCCCAATTCGCCGTTCCTCCGATGCAAAGCCAAGGAGTTTAAGACGGTCTGGTTGCAGTCCATCTCCAGTTGATAATTCCGGACAGTAGGTGGCCAGGATCCTCGTCTATAAGGAAATGACATTGAAGCTGAGGATCCAGCAAATTAAACAACGCCTTCAAGACAGCATCCACAAAAAGTCAGGATATGCAGCGTAAAGACCTTGAGACGTCAGTCCTGCAGGAAGGCACTCGCAGGACCGGAGAGGTCTGGATGGGACACTCAGGGCGCAAACGCCCGAGAAAAATTCATGGGGACTCAACCGTTCCAGGATTCAAAGCCGTGCTGTGGTTAGAGCTATACTTGATCGGCTGCCGACTACACGTCGCTGTTTGTCCTTCGTCACGATCCGGGGGCAGCGAAGTTGCCTTCTTGAACTTCTTCCATAGCCTCACACTCGAGATGATTTTCTGGTTGCTTGCCTTTTTCAGAACACACTTCGACGTGGAATACTTGACCCCTTGCCCGGGTGCATTTCCGACAAAATGTCGGGCTCCACGGCCTGCTTCTCCAAGGCAAGAGCCTTAGATGCAACAACCCACAGCCGCACAACGCAAATGCCACTTTAGCCCAGTGTCATTTCTGACCGTCACTCAAGCAAGAACACGAGGAATCGGAGGAAGTTCTAATTTCGGACAGTCGCGCGTGAAAACAAGACAAGCTCACATGAAACACACTGTGTGCGGATTCCATCGTTCAATGGCTTGGTCATGTATGAGCGGCGTCTAACATGCTGCCGGGGATGCTTGGAACTCCATGCGAACGAAAACATTGGCACCTTGCTCGCTGTCGCTGAGTGGCATCGGGCCGCCATTCCTGAAAGTTGGCATGCGGAAATGTCAGGAGGTTCCATGCTTCGGTTGCACGACTGACTGTTGAGCACCGACAGAAACCCTCTGCTTTGGCTCAAGACTCTCCGCGTATAGAACGGTGTCCCAATTGGAATTGTGATCTTCGAAGCTGAGCAGGGGGTCTGCCGGAACGATCGCACCACGGTTGTACATTCTGGCGGCGTATGGTTGACCTTGTACGTGCGACTTCAAGATCCCACGTTTGGCATTGGTGTACCTGCCCTGGACCTGTGACTTTTTCATAATCATCCACTTCTGGCAGGTGCCGGTGGCGAACAGGAACTCATCGAAACTCATCGTGTCAAACCTGCGGCTGAAAGCAGACCCCTGCGGATTTTGATGAGGCGTGCCATATTCGGCCGTTCCGGCCAAGTCATCATTCGCAGAGAACCTCCCGGATTCAGTGCGGCGAACCAGAATCCAGCCATGTCCCACGTCGTTCGAGTTGCAAGTTGTCGCATCGGTCTCAGCTTTGCTCTTAGAACTATGCAGCCCGTACCGGCCCGTACCTGGTTACGTGACCCCGATCAACTCAGAAGCAATAGCCTGCTGTGAACCATCTTGGTGCTTTCTTGGCGAGTTCATTTCGAGGGAACCTGGAACCACTGGCATCACTAGCAGACTACAATCGGTCCGAAACCCGAAACCACACCGAGTCTCTGGACGGATGAAGACGTTGAGGCCGTGGTGGCTGAGAGCCGAAGGCACTTGGAAAGCCGCTCCATTGCTCATTTCCTGCACGGAGATGACTACGCACCTTCCATATCCCGAATTCATGTCTTAGCCCCTGAGAACAATTGAAATCGTCTCCGTGCCTCAGAGTACAAGGTGGTGGCACCGGGACGGGGTTTCACTGCGACCGGGAATGGATCGCCATGGATATAGACGGTTTCGAAGGCCGGATTGGGGTCTTGGTTGCCGAAGCCGAATAGAGGGTCGTTGTAGGCATCACTTCCCCTGTACATCCTGGCGCTGTAAGGCACGCTGCTCGTGTGCGACTTCAATATTCTCCTTGACTGGTTGGCGTAGCCATAGTTGTCAAGGACTTCTGTTTTCTCCATAATCATCCACTTCTGGCAATCACCCGTGGCAAACAAGAACTGGTCAAAGTCTGTGGCGTCATAACCTCGAGCAAACTCAGGTCCCAGAGGATCGTTTGAAGCAGGGCCATGCACGTGCGCATGGTACTTCGAGTGGATGCGGGTCAAACCGGCAGCCTGAAGCCCCGGTACGCGGTACCGAGAATCAAGCTGCTAGCAAAACAATGGGAAAAACAAAGATGCGACCAGACTTTCAGCATTTGCTGCCCGGATACCCTCTTGAAAGCGCCATTGAGAGAACGGCGCACCAGGACCCAGCCAGCGCCCACGTAGCTGCCCACGTCGCTGGTGCGGCATGTTGTCGCATCCGACTTGGCAGGTCAGCCCAACTTAACAGGTCATTCGTACAAAGCCGCAAACTGCGAAGGCTAAAAGCGCGGCTTGGCACTTCGGGCCCCTAAGAAGGCTTAAAGCGCCTCAAACCCGGCCTCGAGGCCGCAGCTTACCCCCGCCAGCGAAGCGTCGCTCTGAACAGTGAGGCAAAGATTCTGTGCTCCCTGCGCCCTTGGTCAGGAAAAGACTGCGGCTGAAAGGCATGATCAACCAGGAAAGGGAAAGTTTGTGGCTCTGGCCGGTATCGGCGCAGGTCTATGGCAGCCGTAGGAATCAACTCCGCCACGAAGGTGTCACTGGCAGTCTTGCTGCCTATCATGACTTGAAGTTTATGCTGCCGTGTACTGATGTGTATTGAGGAAGTGTCAACGTAACATAGTTGACAGCAGATTTTAGGATGCTCCCGCATGGATGCCGAAACTCCAAGCTTGCTCATGCACAGCATATTGGCACAAAGTGGGAGGCCTGCGCCTACAAGATCGCCATGCTGGTTCACCCACTGAGGTTGTTTCCAGTCTATGCCGATGTCCAGTTTGAGGCCGTCTGTGAAGAACAGCTCCTGCTCGCGCCGTCATACTCCAAACAACTGGCTCCACGCGGGCACGGGCTGTGTCTCAAAAAAAAGCTACCCAAGAGGAGCAAACGAACACGTCTTTCGTGCACAAAAAGCTTTGGGCGAAGATCTGGCTTCGATTCAGGATACAGAAAAGGCCTGCACACGCTGCGCGTTCAGATCTGAATACTTCTTGCCCACGATCTGCACACAGGCACCGCATTCGAAGCCATCAAGCCCCATTTCCTCCCTGGTGTTAATCCAGTGGCCAGCCACCTCGGTTACAAGGTGGATCGTCGCTGATGGCAGTGGTGCAGGCAGGTGCCAAAACTCACTATGGCAAAAATGAAAAAAGCTATCATTTTGCCACGGTCGTGTCAGAGGACGCAGATCAGTGACTCAGAGTTCGTATTCTGTGCAAGGGTTGCGCCCACAGCCCGATAGCGTTCTTGCCAACATCCTTAGTACTTTAAGGTGTTTAGATGATTTTGGCGTATTGGTGGAGATGGGGGCCCCTGACCCTGTGAAGGGACGCAAGGGAAAAGGGCGTACAATGGCATACGGCTCCGCAAAGACTCGCCACACTCCAAACCTATAAGTCATAGACCCTAAACAAATTAAATGTTGAACCAGACTCTGACCAGCAATCTCGCCCCATGCACAAAGCCATCAGGCATCGGGGTCTTCTTTGATGGTTCTGAGCCTGATGTACCGGGCTGCCATGTACCATGCGAGCAATGCGCCGGAGCTTGATTTCTTGTCGTAATAGTAAGGTGCTGACAGTATAGCTTCCAGCATTAACAGCGATCACGCGGAATAGGAGAAGGTGAACGTGCGGACGAAGCTGCACCACTCTTGTCCCGAAGCGCTTGTGAACAGCGCAAGCCTATGATGAGCATCATCTGTGTGATCGTCTTCCACAATCATTATCGTCGACATCATCACCATCATCATCATCAACATCATCATTATCATCATCATCATTATCATCATCATCATCATCGTCATCATTCATCGTCCTCCTCCTCATCCTCTCCTCCCTCCTCGTCCTCCTTATCATCATCACCACCACCATCATCATCATCACCGTCTTCATCCTCAACCCCATCCTCTTTCGCCGTAATCGTCCGCCTCCTTAGCGCACCCGTGGAAAACCTTCAAAACGCCTTCAGGTGGAAAGTGAACAGGATGTCAGCTGCATGCTGGAACTTCGAAAATCAAATGAAGCTGCACTGTTCGCAGTATTGGACTCTGAGACGACTGCATACCTTTCAATGAAGACACGTCTGACTATCCAGGATGTCAAGGCCATCCTCCGGCAGAACGGAAACAAGAGGCAAACATTCATTGTGGCTTACCACGCGACTTTTGTATGTCTTACTATGGAGCATGAAACCCAAAGGGCTTCATGCGACGAATTCGCATATCAGCCCAAAGGCCTAATTGGCGCCAGTGCTGTGTTCCAAACATGCTTTGCCAAGACATGCCTTGTCCACTGCCGTATGAGGCAACAAATCCGAAATCATGCTGTGAAGCATAGCAACCCTGATCCAGCCTGTCTCAGCATACTCACATGTCCCGCACGTGTCCACGTTGTGGCCACCAAGCATGAGCTTGTGGTCGCATTGCTCTAGCAAGTCCTGGAGAACGTCTGCCTACATTACAAGCGTGAACGAACCAGCTATTGGCACATCTGCACACCCTACACGCTGCAATGCTCGTCCTGGTAGAGGCACCGGATTTCTCGATCTTGGCCAGCTCCCAGAAATGCCCGGCGCTTTGTGACTTGCCAGCACTTTGTGGGGTTGACGACGCGGCAGGTTTGTGCAGTCAGCCTGGCAAGAATTGCACTGCACTTCTGCTTTGAGTGGCGGGCTACGTCCAACAACTACCTCTGCGTAGAAATGCTCCTAACTAGATATTCCCCGATCATACATGCTGGAAGCAGGACTAGGGTTGTCGTACGTCTCATATTATCTTGTCTTGGCCAAGATGCCTGCCGTGAAGCTTGCCAACTGCACCAAACTCTCGCACCTCCAAGAGTCATGTGCAAGCATGGCCTTTGCCCTGCTGTCGCAAACAGACTTTGCAAACGAATGAGTCCCCCACCAGTTTGCTGCACGCTTTGTAGATGCGGCACTCTTTGGCAGCCATAACAGTTCCTGCTCATGGGACGACACTGTAAAATCAATTTGCGCAGGTAATGTGAATGCTGCGAGAGTGGGGAGAGTGAAACGAAACACATAACCTCTTGCTCGCAGTCCTTGCCAGAAGAAAGCGCAATCACTGGCAGCGAGGCATTGCGCTTTACAGTAACCCTCGTCCATCTCATCGTCTTCTGCTTCCAGCGTAGTGCTGATCAAACTCCTTGGAAGGACGACGATGGACGACGTAAGGCGTAGACAAACGTAGACGGTAGACCGCCGGCGCCCATGCATCTCTGCTTGCAACAAGGCTTCGCTTGCTCGCACACGAAGTTGCCCTCCACCTGTGAGGCCAACATGACACATGCCATCTCAACAGGCTGGCGATCAAAGGACCTTTTTGCCCGACAGGCCATCCGAAGGCGAGCCTCACGGTTGCGAGGTTCTCGTCCCCTGCGAGTCCCACCGTGGCTTGCGAGACTTGGTCTCCCCTAACACGAGCCCAAGGGCATTTGCGATGCTATCCGCGAGGCTTTTCGCACCCCCAGACTGCGAGCCCCACGGTCCTTGCGAGGTTTCAGCTGGGCCCGCGGAGCGCGATTCCAATGGTATTTGCGAGGTTTCGGGCCCCCGGAACGCGAGTGCGACCTTTGCCAGCCGAACCGGAGCGCCAATGCATTGGCGTTTGAGTCTGGCATTAACGGTTGATCCTTGTACAAGGCTGGCCACCAGATACCCATCCCGATACCCTGGTTTAGGACTTATAGGGCCTAGGGTTGTTCTGTTCCATCCTTTCAGGTTCCAGGGTTCAGGGTTGAGGAACATGGTTAAGGACTTGGGGATCTAAGATTCCGGTGATCGGGATTGACAGGATTTAGGATTTTCCATTTACTTGCAATGTCGGCCCATCCAATCTCTGTCTTCCATCCCATGGGCCAACTCCTTTCAGGGTTCAGGGCTTGCTAGGGTCCCGGCTTTTGGGGCTCAGAGCTTTCATTGGCCCGTTTTCGGGGTTCACCCCAAGGCTTTTTCGGATGTCCGATGTAGGGTTCGGATGTTTGTGGTGGAGCTTCGGGCTTCGAACCTCGTGTTGATGTGGCGGGGCTCTCATACACCTCGCCGTGGGTGTCAGAGGCTCCAACACTGTGGATCTCCTGTTTCCCAGCCTCTTACATGTTCATTCCCCAAACAGGACTTCTTCGGGCCCTCTAAATCCAGGAGAGGAGCTGGGCGCCCGCATGTGGCTCGAACGGGTGTCAGGGGTTGGAGAGTTGGTGGGCCCGACATTTCAAGACCCGTGCAACGGTGGTCATTTCACCCGAGTAATTTCAAAAACCAACTGGTGGTATCTGTTTGTGATGTCTGGGCATGAAGCTTGCAAAGAACTGCAAAGAAACGGTCAAATCATGCTGAGATGGGTCTGAACAGCTCCAAGGCAAGCACAATCAGAACGGGATCAGGCACGAAGTAATTCAAGCTTCCTGGTGGCACTCCTTCCGAAGCATCACCTCACTGCCCGAGAACATTGCCATGACTGCCGATCAAAGCTGCTTTACAAAATGTTTCATTGTGACAGGACACTGGACACTGGAGGCGAAGATCCCCATCGCTCTGGGATGCACTCACACGGGTGCAACCAGTGATCATCAAGAAGGCTCGTAGCAGGATCATCAAAAACCTCACAAGGTGCAGCAACGTGGGTTCAGAGGCTCCTCAATCTATGGCTGCAGCCCCGAACCATCCAAGACTCCACGACTGTCACCCCTCGTAAACCGACGTTTCCGAGGCCCTCTGAAATCCGATTCGAACCGAGGGTCGATGGCCGGCACCTCGGACTCACGCTCCTGATTCAACTGGTCCGGGTAGAGACGACTTGCGACCCAATGAGCAAGATCTCATTACGTTCGGCTTGCGCTGGTCCTTCGTGACGTTGACGCCGGGTGCCGCGCAGTCAGGCACGGCAGGTGCGGCGCTGCTTTGCGGAGCATTCACTATTCTGACCTCACAACATTGCTAGGTACCAAGACTTCTGAGCTCTTGCTGTCTCTCTCTCCCTGTCGCTCTCTGTTTGTGTTCGTTATTAAGTGTGTGTGTGTGTGTGAGAACCTCTGTTGCCAAGAGGACTCAGTGCTT